CAAAAAATTTTAAAAACTTCTTGTCGTCATTCCAACTCAAAATATACGTCTAGTTAATAAAATATAATCCATATTTTATTTTATACGTGAAAGAAACGTAATTTTTATACGTAGAAGGTACGAGCAATTAGCAAACACATAGATAATTTTCATTTTAATTGACAATTTAAAATATGATGAAAAAAGAGTCAACCCAAAAGCGAGTTCTCCCCATTTTTCAAAAGGGAAGAATCGAAAAACAACCCACCGAAAAATATATATTTTAAATATATAATTTGAAATCAAAGAAAAATTCGAAATGGTTGATTACTGCTCTTTTCATCTTCGAAGATCGATAGATGATTTTTCTTTCTTTCGCATTATTAAAACATTTATATATTATCTTCAAATTCCAAATTATATTAGTTTCGATAAGAATAAAAATAAATAAACGATTTTTGCTTACAATTTAATGTGTGCATATATAGATTTTAAATTTTGGAATATTCGATTTAAGTATAACCGTACATGTTGATCGATTTAGTATGAGTACTCTTATATTGAATTGTAAATGTCTCAATGACTTTGATAAAATTAGTTTATATATTTTGACGAATATATAAACTATATAATACGAAATATTAAGACAAAAAAATCATAAAGTGCTCGCATTGTCATAACTTGTTCGTTTTAACATTTGTATTTTTTTTTCTGACAAGTAATAATTAACAACAATGATATAATCCATGGATTGAAATATATGGGCTTTTTACCATATCAGTGAATATGTATTCTCAAAGGCCCATTAAGGCTGACATGAGCCCATTGAATATGCCTTTATAGAAATTTATTGTGTTTTTGCTACGCAATATATTTATTTATTTATTTTTGTTAAAATTATTTTACTAATTTATTGAATGAAATGAACGAAAAACACAACGAAATTAAGCTTCCCTTAAATAAGATTTATTTATTTTCTTAAACTTTATTAAAATTAACTGAATCTCAACAAATTGATTGTTCCGAGTGAAACATTCATCCAGTACCCGGGGTTAGAAAATTAAATGCAATAATAAAATATTATGGATCGACTCCATCGGGTACCGGTTTCGAATTCAGGTCCAAACCCGGATTCGGTGACCCGACCCGGACTCCCCTTCTTCCTCCTCCGCATTCGCCGTTAGCTTCAACGGTGTTATCCAACCGATAGCTTTCACTCCGTTTCCGCTTCTTAGACGGTAGACGTCCGTTACTAACGCCGTTATCCTTCTCGAAGTAATGTGCTGCTGCGTGGACTCTCCGTAATATCTCGAAGAACTGATTCACCTTCTCCTCCGTCTCCGTCATCGCCTGGCTTCCGTCTGCCGTTGACGGCTTTCCCCCCTTTTCGTCCAATTTT